GGTGAATAGCTGGGTTGATTGGTTTAATCGAAAACAAAAATATCAATATAAACAAGTAAAAACTATTTGCTGAGATGTTTTGTGTTTAGTCTAGCGCAAAATTTGAGCCTTTAAACCTCAGACTCAGGCTAGATAAGAGATGATTATAAAATTCTCGTTTCCAAGTTTAAACTAGTTGAAAAGGCTAGTTTAAAACAAAGCTAACTAGCTAGCTAGTTTGAGGCAAAGCTAGCTAGCTAGTTAGCTTAGAAATATTGCAATAAGCAAGCTCTAGATGTTAAAAATTAGACTAAAAGAATCATCGGAAGATTGTTCTGATTTCAGTAAAAGAAAGCGCTTAATTTCAGCCATAGCATCAATTTGGCTTTACTTTTCATGCTACTTTTCATGCTGCTTTTCATGCATCAATTCTGTTTTACTTTACGTATGCTATGAAATCTTCAAAGTCTTCCACCTTCTAAAAGATAATGATTGTTTGGTGATGATCAATGAGAAAGCATTTGTGGACGGATGAGAGACAAGGCGTCAAAACGTTGAGAGTGTCAATCGCCAATCCTTTCTCCTTTCTCTTTTCTCTCAAAAGGTGTCATTCACCAATGCAATCTTTTCTTTCTCATCCCATTCTCGTTTTGAGAAGATCTCAGCTGTCACAATCCTTTTTGAGTCTTTTTCTGGGTCTCAAACGGGAGAACACATCACACAAAATCACTCTTCTCACTCAAATCCCTCTCCGCCATTTCACTACCAATTGGCCCTACCTGTTAGTTGTTTGATTGGCTACAAACTCTAAATTTATTTTATTCACCGTATAGTTTAAATTGTTCAACAACTTTTAAAAACTGAAATAGTGATTGTTATTGGTGTGCACTTCCTCCCGACAAAGCGAAAGGCGGGAGAGCTGTGGAAGAAATTCGATCGTCAAGAACTGAGTTTGGACTCTGCCTTTCCCTCTCCGACTTTTCTCGCTAGAGGAATTTCTTTCATTTCTTCCGACGGTCACAAATCATTGCGCCCATTACTTGACTTTCTTATTTTTAATTTTTAATATGTTTTGTTTTGATCTTTTCTCCAAATCAGCTCAGTTGCTAAATGATCTTTATAGGGTACAGCAAAATTATGAAACGAATTATTGATGAATTAAAAGAGGAAAATGAAGAGAGTACTCTGAGGGTTGTATGTTAAGTTCGATCTAGAAATCCGTCCTATCTAAACTGATTCTAGATCGGACGTCTGATCTAGAGTGAGGTCAAACGTCCGATCTAATAGGTTGATGCATAAGTCTTTTTGTTCCTTTTCGTCTGCCGTTTCAAGCCAACAAATGCACCAATTAAACTACGGTTGATTTCATTAGAAAAACCAATTATTTTTCTGCAAAATAACATTAAAACGGGTTTAAAAATATTTTATGCCTGGATTTTCTTGAGAGTATGAAGTCGCGTAGTCAAAAAGGGCTAACTCGATGATGCGGTTTAGACACCTTAGCTAAAGAAAACCTATCTTCGTGTCAATAGATAAAAGATAGAGAAAAAAAAGTTTGATATTTCGCCAAAATTTCAGAGAAATTCATTCAGCCAATTTTTCCGTAGAGTTTTTTATAGATTTTTACGAAAAAGGCGTTTTTCACTCTCGAATTTGCTTGAAAGTGAACCGAAATTCATTTAAAAAGATGCAAATTGAACAAAAAAACACTTTTTTTATAGAGCAAACTATAGATTAATTGGTGAATTTGTTGCTTTTTAACAGAAGTACGAAAAAAATGAAAAGACTTATGCATCAACCTAATAGAATCAAGCCAATCACTCTAAATCTAAGTCTGGGGCGGACTTCTGATTTAGAGTGATCAGCTCGATTCTAGATCGAACGTTTAACCTCACTTCACTCTAGATCGGACGTTCGATCTAGAATCAGTCTAGATCGGACGTAACAAATACATATAATTTGAAAGCTCTTAATGAATACTACAAAGTAGAATAGCTAAATCAACAATTTGTTCCAATCTTGGAAAACTTTAAGGACTTTAACGTGACACTCCTGAAAAAGATGATCACTTTAACGTTTTAACGTCAACTAGACCAGTTACTATATGGATTATATCTGCATTAAATGCAGGAATTAAAAGCTTACCAGTTAGTACATTCACTTAAGAAAAAGTTCAGATAGAAACTGAAAAAAAAGTAAATTTCGAAAACTAGTGTGTTTTGAGAGAACATTTAAATATTCAAAAACAGTTTTTAACAAATTAAACATAAAACTTTCAACTGTTAAACTGTTAAATTTATTTAATTACTGTTACTAAACCTAAACGTTTAAAATGAATACTTTCAGAACAAAATACAGCTAAAAAAGCGCTGTTTTGAAAAATCAGCGAGTTTGGTGTCACGTTAAAGTCCTTAAAGCTTTCCAAGTTTGGCACAAATTATTGATTTAGCCATTCTACATTCTAGTGTTCATTAAGAGCTTTCAAATGATATATCAGACTCGGAGTATTGTCTTGATTCTCTTCTTTTCATTCATCAATAAGCATTGGCTCCGTAATTTTCCATCCTGTCGATTAATCAGCTTTGTTAGTTTTATCTTCACATCCCTTTTAGATGTTTTGCTTATGTGTTTTAAAGTTTTTGATAACTTTCTTTTGCGAAGAGAAACCTCAAGGGACACAAAACTCGTAAACTTGATGTGTGAATGAGTTTTCTTTGTTATGAAAGAGAAAGTTTTTGTGTTTTGACGTCTTTTATGCAGTACTTGATATCCCTACAAAGCTAAAATCTGTTCTTACTCCATAAATTCAACTCTCTTTGCCACAATCTCTCCTATAATCTCTAGCCTTCAGCCTCCCCATCCAACTAGTGCAATTTGTTGTGCCGAGTGCAAGCAAATCGAGGTGTTCTCCTCTCATTTCTTCTCATTTCTTCCCATTTCCCAGCAATGATCTCATGACAAGAGCTCTCCATTATTCACGGACTTACAGCCTTTCCCTTCCCCTCCCTTTGTCCTCTTTTTTTTCATTTGCTTTCCATGCAGGTGAACACCTCGATTAGTCTTGTCCCTTCCCATCCCCCTTGGTCCTTTCGGGTCCTTTACCCAACTCCCCCTTTCCCCATTGGCACACTCAATTCACTCATCAGACTCTCCCTTTTTGACTCCATCCATTCATTTCATCCAGTTTTTCAATGATCTTTACTAGAGGATGAGAATATTGCATTGAACTTATCAATCATTGCATGTCAGAACAGTTTCATTCTGTTAGTCTTGTTCCAGTCCTTGCAACGCCAGGCTTAAGGCACGTTTGTAAAGCTTGCCCACGCTCAAATCAAATCCCCATTTCTTGATCTCGTTTTTTGCTATCGTTTCATGAGATTTCCTAGGGGACACTTGGTTGGTCTAAGGCTGAGAGTGGGTCGAAGTGCGGTGTGAGTTTGCAAACATTTCGTTTCTTTTTCTCCCACAAAACCCACCAGCAAGAGGGGGAATGGATTGAGCAAAAGGGGATTCGAAAATTTGAGATCGGGGCTTGGTCCTCAAGAAAAAAAGGAGACGGGGACTCGTGTTGGGGCTGATAAATGAGATTTGGATAGGCCCGGGGGTGAAGAAGGAGAATAAGAAGAAGAAGAAGGAGAAGGAGGAGGAGGAAAAGGAGAAAGAAGAGAAATCCACAAGAGATAGGAAAACCACCCATACTTAGCCCATTTTGATTGAAACTCATTTTTTGGGCTCATTTGAAGATTAGGTGATGAATTGCTTTAGGTTTTCCATGATGAAAAGGGATCAAGTTGCAACTTTTCTCATTTACCCAAACTTAGCTGATATGATCTAATCTAATCAATTGATTTTCCAGTTTCTAGCTAAGTTTAAATCTTGCTAGCAATGGTTCAAGAACAGTTTGAGAAGAGAGAAAAGAGTCTGAGAATCTGTGACTCTAGCTGAATCCAAAGTTATCGTTTCTCATAATTGCCATTGTCGTTGCCTTTGCTCTCAAGTCTTGCTTTGTTCATAGCATACAATCAAAACTTGAGTTAAGCTTTTGACCTCCATTTCCTCAAAAACAAATATTTTCCACCTACCTCATCTTCCATTCTTTCCCAAATTTGCCATCATTGAGCTGTCGTGTCTCAAATTTTCCATTTTCTGACCCAAATGTCTACCCTTCCTTCCTTGCAAAAGTCTACTCTAAACTATCATTTCATTTTTCTGGAAACTATGACACCAAAAAGCTTAGTCTATTCTTAGGCTCACAGCCATTAATCTTTTTCTCTGAAACGTTTTGACATTTGCCTCTAGTAGTTTCTTTTCTTTTCTAATCTTTTTGGTCTCTTGGAACCAAAGATTTTCGTGTGATTAGAGTGACAAAGAAACAAGCAAAAACATCTAGATAGAAACTATATAGAAAAAGCTTTTCTAGAATGACACGAGTCTCTCCATTGCCCAAAAGGTCCAAGGTCCCCCAGGTCGCCCACTTTTTCATTCGTTGGAGTCCCTTGAGGGTCAATGGGCAAAGATTTACTTGTGTCTCCTGTCTCTTATCTTTTGGTTCAGAAAAGTTTTGATTTTTGAGATTTATTCTTTTTGAGACTATTCCCTAATATCATAATGTGATTGTTAGTATTTTCCAGCGTACTGTAGATTGTGAGGGCTTTTATACGCGAGACCCCGCCCTCTTTGCCATTAGCAATCCAACTTTGAGCTTAAATATCTTGGTGTTGGGCTTTCCAATTTAAATAGTTTTTGTACCATTCGACAGAGAAAGATTTGGCGCATCTAGTGATACCAAGAATATGTAAATGGGACAAGCCAACAGTAAGATATGGAGCTCAAAGTTGGATTGCCAATGGGAAAAGGGATGGGGGCTCGTATCAAATGTCTAAAAACCGCTAAAGCTACCCAACTTTTTTAACAGCATTGTTTTAAAGTTTTGAAGATTGTTTTCAATTTCTTATTCTTGAAATTTTACCTTTTCCAGGTGTTAGGCTATACAAGCAAGGATGGTTGATTGTCTCGAATGAATGCTCGTTGTTTGTGTGGACGGTCGATCCGAGAGGAGGGTTCCTCAACATCCAGAGATCCCACACGAAGAGAGATCTCATGGATTGAATGTGAAAGTGAAAAGAAAACAATGCAAACAACAACTTCTATTCATTCTTATCTTAATCAGTCTTCCCTCGAATGGGAATTCCCTTTTCTTCGGCTCGTCGAGTTCCGAGTCGAAAGAGGTGGAGAACGAGTTGATACCGCTCACTTTTGGAGCACTGTTCCCGATGGAGGTTAGTCCGATCTTTACATCAAAAAAAATAGTACTTTAAATACAAAACCTTGCTTGAATTCTCTCGTGTTTTGCATTTCCCCAGTTCATCGACAAAGACTAGAATCTTGGCCTCGTTCATGGCATTTTTCCAAATCTCTCTTCAAAAATTCATTTATCGTCGACTCGTTTTTCTTGCATCGCATCACGTTTATCGTTCCGTAATTTGATTGTGAAGAACAAAGTTTCGGAAATTCTCGCAAAAATACTTTCCCCTTTTCCCCCGTTTCTTTTTCTTCTTTTCCTACTTCTAAATTGACCAATTGAGGTCGACGTTTGGCGCCTAAACCTTGAAATTTTTGAGAGCTTTCAGAAAATCCTGACTTTGAGAGTGAAAACGGAAGAAAACTGAAAAATCAATGAAGTTTTGAAACCCACACAAATACTCATCTCGATTAAAAACGTGAATTGTTGATCAAAATGGGAACTTGACCTCATTTCTAAATCTTGCGTATCTACGTGAGTTCATAAAGAAAACGAAAAGGAAACTTCCCTCCATTCTTTTCTTTTTGTTTTCAGAAAAAGTCTCTTTTTGTGCTTTGAATTCGAGCGTAAAACTCGCCGTTAGAATTCATTTTTGAACTGAAAGGAAAGGAGAACTGAAAGGGGAAGTCGAGATAGGGATTTGCTTTTGCAAAATATTTCCAGAAGATGAGTTGGAGAAATGGGTTAAAGGTCATGGAGTTTGGTTTAGAGGTGAAGGAGACAATTAGAAGGAGGTGAGATCAAGTTTTTAACTTTCAGTCCTCAGCGGGCGGTTGGGCAGGAGGTCCAGCCTGTCTTCCGGCTGTGGAAATGGCATTGGAAGATGTGAATAAAAGACAAGACATTCTACCCGGCTATCGTCTACAAATGAACACCAGTGATTCGAAGGTTGATGCAAATGCGCTATATAGACCGAAAATCTATCGAATTTCAGTGTCAAACGGGTCTTTCCATCCAACAAATGTATCAATTTATCTACAATGATCCAAAGAAATTGATGATGATGACAGGGTGCTCGACTGTCACAACAGTCATCTCGGAGATCGCTCCCGAATGGAAACTCGTTGTGGTAGGCTTTAAGATCTATTCTGATCTAGTTAGCTCAAGATTTATGCATAAATTTTATATCTCAATCAATAACAAACTAAATTGTACTTTCAGTTGGCTTACGGAGCCAGTTCACCGGCTCTCTCCAATCGAGAACGATTCCCGACTCTCTTCCGAACTCATCCCTCAGCTACTATTCAAAATCCTACCAGGTACTAAGCTGAATCCAGTCAATTATTGATATTGATTATATTGATATTAATCATATTGATAAGCCACCAGTTTTCTTCAGAATGCGCCTCTTTGAGAAGTGGAAGTGGAAGAAAGTGACCATTCTATCATCAGTTGAAGAAGTTTTTGTCTCAACGGCGAAAGATCTCGAAAAATCATGCAGTGATAAGGTAGGAAAACAATAAACAATTAAAGAATTAAAGAAAAGAATCAATTCTTGTTTTTAGGGTATTCGTGTTCAAAGACAATCTTTCTTTGGTGATCCAGCTGATGCAGTGAAGACTCTCAAAAGACAAGACGCTCGAATCATCGTTGGACTCTTCTATGAAGCTGATGCGAGAAGAGTTTTGTGCCAAGTTGGTTCATCTAGATTGAGCTAGAATCTAGAAAATCCAGAATTGTTCTAGAAAATGGTCTAGATTAGAATCAGTAACTTCTGTCAAGCTAACACTGGCTTAAATCTCTTTAGGAATGTTATGAAAATGTCTAGGCTTAGGAGAATAGGATTTGTAACTTCTGTGGACTTCTGTAGACTTCTGCAGACTTCTGTAGACTTCTGTAGACTTCTGTAGACTTCTGTAACCCATGTTATTCCCCACACTGCCCCCACTTTCTCCCATTTTGTCTCGAAACTACCTTGTGATATGATGATGTATTTTTTTTCCTATCCATGCCATCCCCAAGAGACTTTCCACGTTTATTCGACCGTAAAATTGACACAGAAAATTCCTTCACAAAAAGATAGCTTTAGAAGAGTGGAGAAGGTCTTCTTTGAGGTCTCAAGGGAACCTGGTTGAAAGTGAGAGAAGAAAAAGGGAGGAGACCGCTGAGCATTCAATCAACAGCACATACATCCATCCCGATAGGGGACACCCTGGGGATTGGGCTTTGAAAAGAAGGGAATCCAATGGATCTAGGGGAAAAAAATGGGAGCGGGATGGGACAAGATAGGGGAAAAGATAGGGATTGGATGGAGTGAAGGGGTATTCGATGCAACTAGCAGAAACAGTTATCTCAATTGGGGAATGGAGAACTCGCTGAAAATCAAGTAAAGTCAAAACACATGCCGAAAATTCTTTTCAGGCTTACAAGCAAGGTGTTTACGGGCGAAAGTATGTCTGGTTTTTCATTGGATGGTACTCGAATACGTGGCACATTCCACCATTTGAAGAACACCTCAATTGCACATCTGATCAGGTATATAGTGAGCTCCTCTTGGTTAAATTTGCATAATTCGATTAAATTTACATAATTCTATAATGTCTGATTAATCACTGGATAAATACAAATTAGTTAGTTTACCTTGCTTTTAATTTCCCCCTTTCTTTTTCCTTTTTTCCTCTAGTTTTTCACTCAAAACTCTTTTTTAGCTTAAACCATTCAAATTCAAAGAACTCGATCATATTTTGCAAAAGCAGAATGTAGATAAAGGCAATGTAGGTCGACTTTTTCAGATAGCCAATGTTATTTTAAGAAACTTGCTTCTCTATCTTAACAACAACATCTTAACCACATCTCTAGTAATACAGGGTGAGGCAGAATTACGTAGGCACCTGAATACATCTCAAGCAAATACTATGCAAATTTCATCTAAAAGCACTAAGTGTTATATATCATTTAAAAGCTTGAAGCCTCCTCTAAAATAATGTATATTTGAGATTTTGATGAGAATCTTTGTAACCAACCAGAGTGGGATTCTTGCTTACTACTTCGACACCCCTTTGGGTTCGTTACCGTTTTTCCTCAACATTGAAATACGTAAATTTTTCGCGCTCTCAAAGACGAACCTTGTTCTTATTTTCTACTTGCTTCATTCTAAGTAGACTTTATAAAAAAAAGTATTCAAACTATTCTCAGACTTCTTAGTTTTTGAAAAACAGGACACCGTTTTGCCATTTTTGTAAAGCCAACCGTAAAATAATCTGACAAATCAGTGAAAACATTACATTTTATATTGAACATTCATTAACGAGCCTTACATCTTGTTAAAGCTGTTTTATATTACTAACGATATTGCGTATTAAAAAAGGAAATTTGGTTTGGTTTGGTAATTTTTGGTAAGTTTGGTAAGTCCCATGTAGAGAATTAGAACAAACTAGCAAAAAATCAACTAGCAAAAGGGTGCCGAAGTTAGTAAGCAAGAATTCCACTCTGGTTGGCTACGAAAGATTCTCATCAGAGTTCAAATATACATTATTTTAGAGGAGACTTCAAGCTTCTAAATGCTATATAACACTTAGTGCTTTTAGATGGAATTTTTATAGTATTTGCTTGAGATGAATTCATACGCAATTCTCGCAATTCATACCCTCTATATATTTGTTTTAAAGAAGAATTTGTTTTTTGAAGTGCACTTTTATTGTTTTTTCAATTGAGTCTCACGCAACTCCCTTGAACTCTCGATTTTTAAGCTCGACCAACAATGTTTGAGGCTCTCAAAATCGATAATTTTAAAAGCAATCTGACTATGTAAGGTATAGTTTTAAAGAAAAATCATTCTTCTTTCAGATATGTTCAATAAATTGGCTTTTAAGGAAATCAAAACTGGTTTAACGAACGAATTGTAGAAATTTGACACGTGACTTAACTGAAAAACGATCTTGACTCAGAGAAAATAATACTAAAAACGTTTTTGAAACCATCCTTTCGTATCTGTAGGTTTATATGGTTGAGTAAAAGATAAAGTAAAAGTTAAAGATTGTGTAGCCATCGAAATTCGAGTCACTTTAGACTTAGTTTATTGGAAAGAAGTTTTATTGGAAAGATCTACAAATGTGGACTGAACTTTTCAGTCACCCTGTACTGTAACTTGGTTGCAGAAAGCTTTTCGATAAGAGTTAGAAATTCGATTGCCTCTAAATGTAAGAATAAACATCTCCAATCTACTCTAAAAAAGTTTTAAACTTTTCAGCCACTCTGTGCATACAAGTCTAACCGAAATCTAGTTCATTTGTCCAGTCTTTGATCAAACAAATCAACTTTTGGAAAACTTTCAGATGGAAATCGCTGCTCAATACCATTTCACAACTGAATCTCTGATGTTGTCGCTTGATTCAACTCCTGGTGTATCTGGATATACAGGAAATCAATTCAAGAATCGCTTGATTGAGAGAGTGGACTCTGATCGATCGCCGGGAGAAATGGGAGGATTTCCCGAAGCACCGCTGGCCTATGATGCTGTTTGGTAAATTATTTCCAAAGTTTAAGTCAAAAATGAAGCTTTTATAACCAGAAGCTTTTATAAAGATGAAAAACGACACTAATTTTAATGTTAGAAAGCTGCGGCTTGTCTATAAAAGTGAAAACATCGGCCGACCAGCCAGCCCCTCTTGTGGCATAGTGGTTAGCGCGCTGGTCTCTCACGCGACACAACGGGGGTTCGATCCCTCTCGTTGCATTCTTGTGTACTTTGTCGTCGTTTCAAAGGTGATGAAGATATCGCTGAATGCGAAAAAGACTGGGACAATATCCTGATCGTCGGGTTGAATACTCGGGGATCCTGGAAATTGTCTCTACATTTTATATTATTCAAAAGAATCATAAAATGCGGTGAGCTAATTGGATTTTTGCAAAGATTGATGAAAAACAAAAGTTAAGCCGATAAAATGTACAATGTACAATGTAAAATGTACAATTCAAGACTCCAAGCAACTTTTTCAGGGCCCTAGCCTTGGCTTTGAGATGCACAATCAGAGCTTTACCTCAAAATGTGAAAATCGAAGATTTCACATACAAAAATGAAGCGGTGGCTGGTCAAATTTTCGATTGTATGAAGAACACGTCATTTCAAGGAGTTTCGGTAATAAATTTCACGAAATCAATAGTTTCCTTAAAAATCCCAGGGCCGAGTCATGTTCTCCGATCAAGGAGATCGCATTGTGCAAACGCAAATCGAACAGATGCAAGGTTTGTTATGACAAAAAGCAATAAAACCTCATTTTTAGATGGGAAATATCAATTGGTCGGCTATTACGATATGACAACAAAAAATTTGACATGGATGGGGAAAGAGAAATGGTTTGGAAAAGGTCCTCCACCAGATAGCACGATCGTTCGACAACAGATTTTGACCGTTTCAATCAAGGTAAAGGAGAATCTAAAGGCTGACCGACGAAATTTGGCGCCAGGTTTTTGACTTGTAGATGATGCCAGATTTCTCAAAATCTATTGAACTCATATCCAAAAATGTGGCGAATTTTCTGTAGTTTCTGAAACTTATAACTATTTGAGTTATGCTGCACCTATCTAAAAAGGCCGTCGCTCGTTTTCTGAAAGTTTAAAGGTGAAATTTCTTGTCCAAAATGCAATATTGGCTAGAAAATAATTACAAATCCTAGAAAATAGTCAAAATTATGTAAACAATTTTTAAAACCAAAAACAGGACTTAAAAGTGCATCTTGAGTTTACAAAACCTCGATTTTTGCCGTTTTTTAAGGAGTGCTGGTGAAAATGGTGGTAATGATGGAAAAAGTTTGTAAAAAAGAATTTTTTGACCGCGATGTAATCGCGACTTTCTTGGAAAAGTTGCTAGCAAACGCCTGATTTATTCCCAAAGTGCCATGTGTTATATAGAAAAATAGAGCGCTTCATCTTGGCATCATTTATCTACAAAGAACTTTCCGTTTGGAATTATACAACTCATTTTACAAGCTCTCGAATGAGCTCAAGTCGGCCTCTCTCCGGCTTTCTGCTATTTTTGACACTTTTCTTAATCACAAAAATTGTTAAAAAGGTTTCTTTATATTTATTTCGTGAGAAAATAACATTTAATATCGTTTAAGAATAACAGAAAACTCTTTTGTCGAACTTTCATAGCCAAACTTGGGATTGATTTCTGGGTTCATATGGAAACTCAGCAAAAAAGGGAAAATTGAGCTTGAAATTGCCATTTGACAAGAAGATCTTGTTGTATAAGCTTTTCTAGCGTTATATTTTTGTTGAATGATATTTTTAAAATAAAATACCACTACTTTCATTGAAGGAATCTCTTTCTAGATAAAAATATTGTGTGTCAAAAATGTCAAAAATCGATCGCCAGAGAGAGGTCGACTTGAGCTGATTCGAGAGCTTGTAAAATGAGTTGTATAATTCCAATCGGAAAGTTCTTTGTAGAAAAATGATGCCATGATGAAGGGCTTCAATTCTCTTGATGACACTTGGCACTTTGATAATAAGTCAGGCGTTTCCCAGCAGCTTTTCCAAAGATATCACCAGAATTTCCTCACCTGTAGTATGCCTAGAGGAATTCAATCCTTGTTCAGATCTACTATGTTGTATGTTTCTTTTCGATTCTTGGCCTCTTCATGACAATTGGTCTTTTCATTTTCAACAGGAAGTATGGATATCGAAGGTGGGAGTTGAATGATCAAACGATCAAACGATAAAATCCCATTTCAGTGTCATCTCTCAATCTCAACCCCAATGCAACAATGCCTTGTTATTCGGATCAGCTATGTGCTGTTTTGCACTCTTTTTAATGGGCCTACCAGCTGATGGACTCACTCTACCCAAAACTATATTTGGAGCATTTTGTCATGTAAGTTTTTAACTAATCAAAGCAGGACAGTTTATTTCAATTCAAAAACTTGTTTAGATCCGAATCTCCCTCCTGATGATTGGCTTTACCTTTGCTTATGGATCAATGTTCGCCAAGGTTTGGATCGTCCATCGACTTGGCGCCACGGAAAGCCAACAATTAGCAAATCGACACAAGGATGAGGTTGGAAATGAATTTCGAAGATCAGACTAAACACCCAATGTAAACTTGTGTAGAGATAACATTTGTTAACATGAACCATTGAAGCTAAATCATTAACCAATCGTTTGTCGGCCTTTTGTAAGGCGTATGAAGAGTGAACAAATGCTGTGTTGGATTGTGATTAATCAGAAAACTTTGGTGAAATGGATATTTGAAGAGAATTTGAATATTGAAATTGAAATAACCAAAATTTTGGTTCTCTTCCAATCCCCATTTCACGTTTTAACATCTTGCCTTCTCAAGGGTGTACAAATTTTTCAGCTGAAACCCTTGCTGAGCTCTTATGCTACAAAGGTAAGCCAAGAGAGAAAAATCGATCAATTTCAAATTTTTGATTGATTGATTGATTCGGAATGAAACTATGAGCTCAATTTCAATTCGATTCCTTTTTCGAGAGCCTTTGAACTTCTCTGTCCTCCTTAAAGATGCTGTAAAGTTGCAGGTTTTTGTCTCTACAGTAAGCCAAAGTCTGAATATTTTGAGTAACTGAAGAATTAGAAGATATTCAGTCAATCAGACTTTATCCCGCTTACGAAAACAAGCGAAATCATGCGAATTTACAGTATCCTTTACCAGGATTCCCTATTTGATTACCTAATCACCTGGTTTTACCCCAAATGTGGCAACAAATTAAACCCTATGTATTCTAAGCATGGCAAAATGGCTTGTACTTTGTGTTCCAGCGATCCGGTCGAGTAAAAAGTCACAAATCTGAGCGCCAAAGAGCAGTTCATCAGAACACAAAGTAAAAGTCAGAACATTCAAGAAACAAACTTACTTAAAACTTTACTTTGGCATGACTCTCAAAAAACTGCTCCCATTCTCAAGAAAATCATGTTTGCTGTGCATCACGAATTTTATGCCATTCTTTACACGTCATTTTTTACATCTGTTTCAAAGATGAGCCTTCCATCCCCACAAAATAAAGAAATCCGAATCGGCATGGCTTCCTGCGTGTGGCTTTTGCTTGTTACGCTGTAGATTCCAAACGAATGAGTATTTAAAGCTTGTAGATCTAGCTGAGTAGTTACTATTTGAACGTTTTACTGAAGATCTAGATTACTATGAAGCTCTATTACTATCTAGCTCTGGATTATTATACTAT